CTATCTTCTGCATCCTTCAAGGGTAGTCTTGAGTCAATAACTGGGGCGGGATCCCTGTTATAGCGTTCAGGGATGCTTATTTTTTAGAATCTATGTGCCCTACAACTTTGGGCTAAATTTAACCAATAATCAATGTTTCTTCCCTATGTATATATGTTAAAAGTATCAAGAATAACGGAGCGCCGGAAAAAAAGAGAACGGAACTAAACACAAGCAAGAACACACCTATACTGACATTATGAGTGAGACAGCACGAGTAAATACTGAGTGCTTTCTTCGTGGTATGGTCGTTGATATAAACCACTATATTCCCCCAAATTAAAAAATAGTTAGAATATCATAAGAACTGTATTACATGTTTACCTGTCGCGCGACAGCAATAAACCGGTAACATGCGATACGAATACAAAGAGAAGGTACAAATGTGGAATATTCATAAGCACAATGATCATCGTAGAACTACGACTGCTATTTACTTACTCGTAAAGCGAAACGTACGCCATCTGAAGCACATTTAATATCTTTAATATTTTTAATATTACTTAATATATAATATTTCTAATATTTTTCTGTAGCATACCTAATTCGCTATGTAATGTGTATGACAAACGACGGAAATTGAACGATGAGGATATAAAGAAGAAACAAGAACGGGCATTAAAGACTTCTGACGGAAGAAAAAAGAGAGTAAAATAATATTAAGGAATACGTGCTTATCCAGTTTTAAATTACTGTAGGAATGTCGAATAGGCAACAGAATAAGCAGTGATGTAAATATAAAAATGATTTATTCTAAACTAAAACTTATTCTAAGCGCTAATAAACTCTCGGCTGGCTCTCACTCGCTATTTCTCGACAATTCTATGACTGACTCTAAAACACACACTGACTCTTCCGCGTCCTTGCACTCTTATTTAAACCTTGCACTCTGTCTTCTTTCATATTCATGTTCTCTTTCTCAATCGGTGGGTCACGTATCCTAAACACTCAGACGCATTCCTAGGCTTTCCCTCTTCACTTGCACTCGGCTCTGTCATAAACACCCCTTACAGTCGATCCTCTTGCACGCGGTCACTTTCGTTCTAACAAGGAGAGTGAAAGCCCTTCGGGTCATAGATTTAGTCGAAACTTTGCAGGTTTGTAGATTTAGTCATCCAGTTCAAGAAAATGTAGCATTATAAGGGCAACTGCTCGATAGTTTCTGAGATATTTATGTTTAGAGTTTTATTACTTTTAACTAGAGATTTCTTACGAATAATTATCGATAGTTATCAAGTGGCATTGTAGCCTAAGGGCAACATCCGAGAACTGCCACTAGCGTGGGTATTTTCGGATGTCACCATTAGTCCACAACGGCACTTGATAAATATTCGAAATAAATCTGTAATTAAGTCAATTATAAAACTCTAATCATAAATATCTCCAGAACTATTGAGTAATTGTCCTCATAACGATATATTTTCTTGAATTGGATGACTAAACCTACAAACCTGAAAAGTTTCATCTAAATATAGAACCCGAAAGATTTACACTCTCCTTGTATGCCCAAACACTCTTGACATTCTTTCAGTGCCGTACTTATTCCTTTCCTACATGTTTATGTACATTTTGTAAATAATAACGATTTGTTTCCTCACGAATAATTTCGAAAAATTCATTACCGATTATACAATCGACTGCTTTCTTCACATTGCGGTTTTTTTGTAATGATGTACCACAAATTCCTGTAAAAATGTTTCAAATTTGGAAACGTATCCTCTTCTGTCCATTCTTCAATTAAAGGCTCATCAGCCTCCGTCTCCGAATCTTCACTTTCGCTTGAAATATTATATTTTTTATTCAGTTCTCTTCTATATCTAGTAACATCACACAATTCAAGAATGTCGCTATTATCACCGAGTTCATTTTTGTCTAAAGTGTTATTCGGTGCATCCGATAAATCGTCAAACAGAAATTCATCTTGACTTTCATTTTCTTTACCTCTATGCGTCATTTTGCTACTATTTCAGAATTAGGGTCTATTTCATAAAATAATTCTTATTATAAATTATCATTAAAAGATTGAAAATGTAAATGATTTTTAAAAAGCTGTTTCCTTGCTGTTGAAAATAAGATACGTCTTAACGTATCGAATATACAAAAATTAATCTGTCAAGAGAAATAGATATATCTTTAAACTATGAGCCGAAGAGGTTCCGGGAATGCGTGAAGTATTCGTTCTACACGTTAGATAAGAATTAGGGGACCAGGACGAGCTGCAATCGCATACCCTTTTTCTTCATTCTAGTTTCCACTCTCTACGCGAACAGTCTGAATACTTGAGATATACCTTCCTTACGAGAGAATAAAGATAATTATAAAATAGAGTTAGTTATTTCTTTTTACCCATAATCCCAATACTTACAAATTGAAACACGAACCTTGAAATAACAAAGTGCTGTACACCAATAAAACACTTTATAAAGCACGATACACGATCGACACAGAGTTAACGATTTAATGACTATGCTGACCGACTGATTTTTACGCTCTTGGAATGTTGACATTCACTTTTTTCGCTAACCATTTGTTAGGAGAATACGCGAGATTTCGTTACCCTGGTAACGTAACAAGGAAATATATTTTTAATTCCGTAAACCATCGATTGAGTCGAAGAAACCTGGAAACGAGATATCTCGTCGCCAGATCACAACGTTCGGCTTGCTAAAGACGAAATATCTCCTCACCCGTATGCAATATGTTGATATTGAGTACTCGGTTTGATGATCGCAAATAAGAAGAACGGTTAAGGTATGTTAAACGCTGGACTACAAGCGAGTCGAACATCGACGGTTTCAATGTTTCATGAGAAATTTAAGGATAGTCGAATGCTAGATAGTCAGACAACGTGGGAACTGAAAGACATAAGAACGACTGACTCCTCGATTTTCAGGGTGATCGAACTGAGAAAAATTGGGAATTCGCTGAGGGGCTAACGGTGCCTTGATTGGTTAAATAGGACGAAGAAAGTTTTCTCGGTCCGCTGATCGGTTTCCTTAAAAAGAGGAAAACGTCCCTCAACCGAAAATAGTAGTAAAGGAACCCCTTCACTCAGAGTGAAGTACATGAAGATTAGCCGCAATGAAAATGACCGCGTCTGGAAAGGTATGGTCGTTTATGGCTCCACAGCTCGCCGAAGTCCAAGGATACGACACACGTGGACTTGTGCCGACCTCCCTCAGGCCACTTGTTGACAGAATCCCAAGTGCTATCGCCTAATCTTATGGAAGGTGGATTGCATTGCTTCGCATGTCTGGGATCAATCGGAATAATAAGCAGGAAGTTTTGCAACGATACGAAACGGCGATACGGTACATTAGGAGATTCCGATGTTCTTGTCATTTGGGTACTTGGGATTTGACCGTTGGAGAGACCGCAACGGTGTCTTTTGAACCGGTCTTTGTTCCGCGACGGAACACTGTGTAGCGGCTTCATTCTCACCCTCGCCAATGGATAGATTCCTACTTGAAACGGAGGTTTGAGAATTTTCTCGCAAGTCCGCGATGAATACTCGACCTCCCATAAATACAAGTACCTATGATTACCCAAGTATCCTCTGTCTAAGGTAGAACCTGCTAGAAAGACTTACTGACCAGTCCACTAGTAGCAGGTCCAGGACGAAACGTATCCCTTCTTTGCATCCTTCTACCTGGTACCCTATCATAGCACGACGACTAAGGATATACAGTGACTCGCGAAAATATTCGGATACAGGGTGTGTCTGAATTAATCAGATCCTATCGCAGATACTAATAAATGGATCGTGTTCACTATTTCTTCTAGTGAGAAGACATTTATTCAAGTAAACAGAAATATGTTTTATGTAATAAATTTGTATGGATTTATTATAATAAATTATAAACAAAATGATGCCCCATTTTCACGTCACAAAAGTATTCGGATACTTGGCATAAATAACATTATATAACTCTAATTTATTTACATAAACACATTTTTTAATATTTTGTCGCATAGCCTCTTTGTTTCAATAAGTACCTCGATCTGTTCGACATATTATAAATGATTTTTTCCAAATAGTTCGTACTGTTAGCAGTCCACTCATCCAGTAACCTTTCTTTGAATTCTTCTTTTGAATTAATTGGTGTTTTTCGTATTCTACGATCTAAGTTGTCCCATAAATTTTCAATCGGATTCAGATTCGACGATTGTGGTGGAGGATGAAGAACTTTCGGGCAACGATAAGGCAAGAATTTTTGTACAGTGCGTGCTTTATGTTTAGGGTTGTTATCCTGGTAAAACTTAAAATTGTTGCGAATTCCCATTTTTTCTGCACTATTTAATAAATTACTCTTCAGTAGCTGCAAGTAACAGTTTTTCTCCATAATGGTGTCAAGAAAAACTAAATTGCCAACTCCTTTGGACGAAATACAGCCCCAAACCATCACGCTACTTCTGCCGTGTTATACGGTACCTCTCGTGTTTCGATGGTGGAACCCTTTATTCGCTTTCCGTCACACCATTCTTTTTCCATCTTAATTGTGGATGCTAAATTTGCTTTCATCGGCAAATGTAACGATGTCCCACCATGATTCCTCCTTTAAAATAAACTCTCCTGCGAAGAATACACGCTTTTTCCTGTTGGCCTCATTAATAAAAGGCCTTTTTCTACAGACACGGCCGTTGTACCCGTGTTACCTAAGAAGTCTCCGAATTGTTTCGGGATGAACTTGTGTTCCTGTCTCTTCGTAATGTTCTGCCGCCAATTTCGAAGCACTTAATCGAAAATTTGCTTTAATATTTCGAACCATTCCTCTTTTTTCTCTCGCAGTTAGAGCGGCTGGTCGACCAGATTGAGGAATAAAGTCGATACGATCTTCATCCTTAAACCTCCTAACAATGTCAGCGACCGTACTTTTACTGATTTTAAGTAAAGAACTAATGTCGCGGTAAGGCTTTCTTTCTCCACGATGAAAAATTATTAATTGACGTAAATCGAACGATGTATTCTTTCCTTTACGACCCATATCAACGTGTTTCAAGCTCAATACTGGGGGATACTGTGGTAACATCTTCGGCTAAAGCTATGTTTGTAAACATTCATCGGTAACTTGCAAAAACATTAACTGCTCGGGCAGAGAAATATCGTAAACGTACAATGTGTCCGAATATTTTTGTCACGTCAAAATAGGGTATCATTTTGTTTATAATTTATTACAATAAATCCATACAAATTTATTACATAAAACATATGTCTACATTTACTTGAATGAATATCTTCTCACTAGAAGAAGTAGCGGACACGATCCATTTATTAGCATCTGCGATACGTGTGGTGGATAATGAAAACTTGACGATGTCACTTATTAAACTATTTATTAATAATATTAATTTTTACAAAGTTTCTCACAACAGTTCTAGATTATTCATCGCACATTCTCGCGCGGAAAAGGAACATTCGCCCATTGTTCGGGCGGACACACACTCGCTTGTTCTTCGCGCTTCTTTTGTTTCCCAGTTTTACCATCCATCCACATTCACTCGTCACCACGCATCACCTTTCATTCATACCAACTTAAAAGCTAAACATCCCCACAATGCGATCTGATTAATTCAGACATACCCTAGTGTCCAAATATTTTCGTCATATCAACGGGCAGCACCGTATGAACCACAAGATATCAGCGCAACCCTGTAGGGGGGACCCATGCAACTACGTGCCAGCAATAAACTGGTAACTTGGGATGCGAATAAAAAGATAATGTATAAAACGAAGAATCTTCATAAATACAAGGCTCATCACAGTTCCGTCCCAATAAATAAATTTAACCGGAACACTGTCAAATCGATGCGTTCCAAATACGGC